TATAGTGACAAAGCAACTGAAGAAGCACAGCCCCGATCAAACTCCTTTTGCAAAAGCACTGAGAAAAAGGGTCTGCGACGGTCACTCATCCTGCTCATGAGAAGCGCATGCTCTGCTGGCAACACACTCGGAAAAGGAGCTGCGTGAGCTTTTCAAGCTCCTAGATTCCGACGGCAGCGGCGAGGCTGGAAAAATCATCGGGAGCTTGGTTTTCGGGACATGGGGTGATTGGAAGTTCGCAGGTGGTTTAGGAAGCTTGGAAACCAACGGATCATGGCGGGACTGCTACTGATGCAAAGGCTCACAGCTGTCTACTGCTTCAAATGGCTGGCTGATAAATGCCTTCGGAATGCTGTGTTTTGGTTGCTGTAGCGAATGTTATCAGGCCTGGCTTTGGACGGCAGAGCATACTCCAGACCCTTAGCTGTCAAGGGCATGCAGAACTTTGCTTTTTCACTTCGATTGCGCAGTCCGTAGTGATCTAATTACAGTGTAGTGGCTTCAGCTATGTTGGAACCTTGGTAGGTTCTAGGCGCAGAGAATGTGTTGTAGATCTGGGCATGCGCGGGTTTGAGCGGATCTCGGTTTTAACGTGAGGTTTTGAGAATCAAGGCATGGCCTGCTCAATTCCTCGCACGTGACACTAGTGGCCGAGCAAAGTTTGCAGACTCTTCCTTCGGCTCCCGTGCCAACTTGCCTCAGCTCAAATTCCCTACTTCTGAGCCCTGAACACAGCAGCCTCCAATACCCAAACGCCAAATGGCTTGACCACTACCCTGGTCTGGCAGGTCGACACAGCAGAGTTTGATGGCGCATTTGAGATTCCAGTCTGAGCCTCAGGGGCCCTCAGGTTCATTGCACTACAGTTGCGCAGGAAGCTTTGCAGGTTTTGCATCGGACTGCTCGGTACGCCGCGCAGTTACATTCGGAGTTCATCCCTTTTCTTCCCGGTTCATGGCCCTGTAGTACAGCACGTGGTATGGCAATGATGGATTGTCGCCATTCGTGCGGCCTGCCAAAAGGGGGAAGTAGGAACTCGGTGTTGGTTTCCTGGAAATGCAAACCCAGACGGCCGAAATCTGCACAGGGACAAGCGACAAGTGTGTCATGGATGGATGCATCAACGCTTTGTGGGTCGCGGTCAGGCGCTGAAGAACAAGCTGCTCCTCCTTGGCCTGGAGGAGGCAGGTGAAATGCTTAGGAGTCATGGAATCTTCCCACGTCCTTCCCACAACCAGCCAACCTGAAGCCCGTCCCTCTGAAGCGACTGCCGTGCTCGTAGCAAAGCACACGCGCCGATTTGGATCCCTCCCTCCACCTCCTGCCCTCCTCCTCCTCCTCCTGCTCCTCTTCTTTCTCCTTCATTACCTCCCCCGCCCTCTTACTTAATCCTATTGCTGCATTCTGCTATCATGGCTACCACGGCTTCCGCCACCGCCGCCGCCGCCGCTGCCGCCACTGCAGCCACCGCCACTAGCGCCACCCACCCCTCCGCGATGCCACCTGCCAAAGCCATCAGTGCGATTCCATAACCCGAAGAGTTTCTAGGGCGAGCTAAAGCGCTTCTTCCGCGCGCTGGACTCCGATGGATCTGGGTCTATGGGCATTGACGAGTTCTGCGAGGCCGGGCGGAGAGGTTTGGCCTTTGATTCATTCTCATTCAGGGTTTGTCGTTTGGCAGTCTTTCGGGCTTAGGCTTCGTTAAAAGCACGCTGACGAGGGTTGTCATGAATACCAGAGGGTTCGGCAGCGATTTGATGGGGTCATACCTGAGCAAGTTCCAGACCCAAGAAGACGCGGTTTCTAACTTATTTGGCAAGAATTGCAGGTTCAGTCACGGGAGCAGTGAAAGCTGAACTCACATTGTACTGGCTGGAGTCAAAAAGGGTGTTGACTGTTTATGCACGATTGCAGGGGCCCAGTTCGGCAAACCTTTCAAGATGGCATGTACTCGGAATCTGGACGCAGTTTGACCAGGCTCTTGGACAGCCCTGCAAGACGACTCAACAAGTCATTAGTGTCAAGTTGCTACAGGCCTTTTCTGAGCCTCACCACAACTTGTTTTGCGACTTCTAGAGGGTCCTCATCGAGGGTTTACTGTTACTTCTGTATCAGGTCCTTGGTCCCGAACTGGCATGGAGGAGAAACGTTGGTAGTAGTAGATACGGAGAAACCAGCAAGGGCCACAGTCAGCAAGGACGGCTTGTGGGGCTAACCAGGATGAGATTGACGTATTCGGGCAGTACACATGTTGCTGATGATGCAGAAGTCCTTCATGCCCTGCAGGGCATCCCAGAGCTCTTCGGGCAAGCCACGGCTTACAGCATGCTCAAAGCCAAGAAAAAGGCCCGGCGGGTTGGGGGTTCAGGCTTCGTGTGCAGCCCAGATCCTTGAGTTGAGGGCTTACACGGGCCAGGGCTGCGAAGAATTAGGTCGCTCCGCAACTTTTGGTCACCCCATGCCTTGGCTACATCCCCAAGCCTCCGCCACGAATTTTACAGCCCAGACTAGGACTCTCAAAAGGAATACCACTCATTTTCAACGAGTCCCAAGCTCCCGGTTCTGGCTAGGCGGAGAAGGCCGAGAAGCAGCTCCGGCGGATCAGGGAAAAGCTGGGCTCGGGCCTGAGTTCTCAAATCCCAGGCCCCATTGTAGGGGTTGTATAGGACTTCATAGTAGTACCCAGGAGTATAGCGGACATGGCTAAACTTCAGGTCAGTTTCAGCTAGTGGCGGCAATGAGTACGTACTCGGACTCGGGCATGGAAAACCATAGCCGGGCTGTGAAGGGTTTGGCCCGCCTGCATCGCTAGGGGGAAAGGTTGGGAACAACCGCGGATTGCAGGTTGAATTTCCAGAGTTCTATGTCCTATGTCCTTCTAATCACTACTTCTCGAGAAGATTAATCAATCGAGAATGCGTTGGCAGGTGCTGCCTCGCTTGGAGAGGAGCCCCGAACCCTGAACCCAAATTGACCGTCAGCAAGCCGGCCTTGCCATTCTGAAGTTGCTCTGTAGCCTAGCTATAACACCTTGACCGTAGAAACCGCGTGCACCTTCAAACTTTTCTAAGGTCACGAACCTGACAGGCATTGGCCGCATTCAGGGGGAAGGGAGCGGGCAAGGGGGGCTGGCTTACGGTTCAGGGCGACTGCTGGGCTTTGTATGAAGATGCCAGACGTTGGCTTTAAGCTCCCTGCGCTTTTTTTTTTTGGCTGAAGTGGTGTGGACCTTCAAGGGGGCCTCTGAATGAAAGAATGGGACACCGACTCGCGATCGAGATCCAGCCCCGCGCCATCCGTGTCCCTGCTGCAGTTTGTTTTGTGCACGAGCTAAAAGCCTCCCGTACAGCCTCCTATCGCTTGGCAGAGCCATGGCGGAGTACAAGCTGGCGGTGGATTCTAACAACAAGGCCACAGAGCTGCCGCTACTAAGGGTTTGCGGCACTGTTCAGCAGAACCCTCATATGCGAGCTTTCTGGGCCTCGACCATATCTTTCTTTCTTGCTTTCTTGGGCTGGTTCCCAGGCTGTTCAGAGACCTGCTCTTCTGTTTTTGTTTTGTTTCTGCTTCACGGTTGTGACTACCCCTAGCTTGAGTGCTTTTCCTCTGGCACACTCAAGAGCTTAGGTTTGCCCTGGCGCCGCTAGCCTTGGAAGTTGCGACCAGCATCGAGATGTGCGAGAACCAGATCTACCCTCCCACGGAGTTCCCAACCCGACCCGCCTACTTGAAGTTCAAGAACTTGAAGAGTGGGCTGACCTATTGCCAGTA